AGAGAGAGAGAGAGAGTTATTTATAACAATTTTCTATGTTTAGCTTTATTAATCTGGAGGATTTTATGTGGGTCCATTGTTTTTAATCAAATTTAAACTAATTTCAATTGCAACTAGCAAGGTAACACAAAAGAAAGATCATCTATGAAGTGAATAGTTTTACAATCCTTCTGTAGCATTTGTAACTCCAGTATTAGGTCTTAAACATTTTGCAGCAGTATTTATTAGTAAAGCAAGTCTGAAGTATGTAAAATGGCACAAATAAAAGTGCAAGCATGCTAAAAGAGTTGATTGTACAAGTGACAATTAGGAAAAACAGTTGTTAATCAAGCATGCTTTAATCTAGAAAGTGGTTAGGAGGAAAAAAAGGGACGTACTGTAAAAGCTGGCCATTACATAGGTTTGGCAGCGTTCACCAGTAAATTCATTTGGACACCTGTGCAGTAAAGACAGAAGACAGACAAGAAAAGAGGGGGTTAGTTTAGACAAGAGCTGTGTAAAACCCACAGCAGTCATCACTGGTGTTAGGAGGATGGTCCAACTAGACCCGATATGTCTTAAGATGATTCCTGAATCTTTGAGTTTGAGTTCAATAAATTACTCTGACTTTTTTTTCCAATTTAGTTTTTCTAATATCATGTAGTGATCCAAAGACAACTGATCCCATTTTGCGCAGACTCTTAATTTGAACAAACTGAAATTTGCATGTACTTGTTTTAGAACTGACGATCAGACCACCAATCCTATGCATAAACATTTAGAAAGGCTGAGTGTTAGTGAATGAAAAAGACAGTAGGTAGTTGGTCTTACTCCAGGAAAGACACAACAGCAAATGGATGGTATGTGATGAGATGTAAGTACATGCAAAATTCAGTGCAGTGCTCTGAAGAGGATAATGTGTCTAACTCTTCATATCCAATCCATGTGGCTGCACAAGCTTTAAAGAAATAACTGCATTGCTTTATTCGATTTCATTACAATATGCCAAGGAAACATGGACTTCTCCATAATTTCTTGAAAAAAATAAAATGCAGGGGTGAAACACCAGCAATGACATGTGGGACTGAGTCCAGTTGTGTTCACATACGTTTTGGGTCTGAGACATTCTTAAGCACAGCTTGTTCACATCGGTGCCCAGTGAATCCCGCCAAGCACCTGGTTGATAGATAGAAGGGAGAGGAGAAACATAGTACCTACATGTTACATACAAGACAAGAACACTTATTGACAAACACAAAGCACAAATATCCAGGAGAAACCTTTTATTGCAATTTTTCAGGGCAATAAATTTATTTACTCCAGTAATTATGCAAAACACCAGGTGAAGGCTTAAAAACTAGGGCTTTACTGTGAAGATAACAGCAAATCTCACTGAAGGACTGTTTCACTGTGAAGTGGCCATATTACAAAAATCAAAGGAATTGAAGCATAGTTTAAAAAGGCAACATTTGGGAGTCAAACTGAATTCTATCTTGGACTGTGCTGAAACACTTTCATACAAATGTTCTATGCATTGTCACTTTATGAAATAAAAGTAAATTCAAAATAAATACTTCTAGTGGTGCACAAAAAGTTTCCATGATAGAGCTTTGAAAAACTAGAGGTCTGTATTTTATAATTTATCATTCATTTTATTCAGTTCGTTTATAAAGCACCAAATCACAAAATAAGTCATCTCAGGGCACCATACAAGAACATTCACATACATAAAAAGCCACTTAGTAAAGTTATCTATCTAAGGAAGCCAGCAGACAAGTTGAATCTTCACATCATCACAGTCTCCCATCCTTAGCAAGCACATAGGCAACAGTGGAAAGGAAAGACTCCCTTTTAAGTTACAGTAAGAAACCTCCAGCAGAATCAGGCTCAGGGGGAGAAGCCATTTGCTTTGGCCAGCTGTGGGGTTAAGAAGACAGAAAGGAGAAACAAACAAACACAGAATGACAGATCCAAGTGTACTTTCTATTGGAAGGAGTAAAAAAACATGTTAAAGATAGAAATAATTACAAATACAAACACGTAGAGTAGAGCAAGTAAAGACAGCAGTAGAGTGAGGAAATGTGGTCAGTTTGTCCTCCAGCAGTCTAAGCCTATAGCAGCATAACTAAGAGATAGCTCAGGAAACCCAAGCCAACCCCAACTATAGTATTTATCAGAAAGGAAAGACTTAAGCCCAGTATTAAAAGTAAATAATGTGTCAGCCTCACAGACAGAAACTGGAAGTTGGTTCCACAAGACAGGAGTCTGATAACTGAAAGATCTGCCTCCCATTCCACTTTTGGAAACTTTAGGAACCACAAGTAAAGCTGCAGTCTGAGAGTGAAGTGCTCTGTTAGGAAAGTATTGAACAATAAGATCTGTAATATAAGAGGGAGCTAGGTTGTTGAAAGCTTTGTATGTTAAAAGTAAGATTTTGAATTCTATTTTTAATTTGACATGGAAACAATAGAGAGAAGCTAAAACTGGAGAAATATGATATTTCTACGAACTCTCATTAACACAGGCAGCAGCATTTTGGATCAACTGAAGACTTTTTTATGTTTTTTTGAAACCCAGATAAACAACTGAAATAGTCCAGCTTAGACATGATAAATGCATGGACCAGTTTTTCTGCATAAGTTTTGGACAAGATGTTTCTAATTGCAGTGATATTACGCAGGTGGAAGAAAGCGGTCCTGTTACCTTTTTTATTGTGGGGGCTAAAAGACATCCATCCATTTTCTCCCACTTATCCGAGGTCATGTCGTGGGAGTAGCAGCATATTTAGGGAGGCCCAGACTTCCCTCTCCCCATCCACTTGGGCCAGCTCCTTCTGAGGAATCCCAAGGTGTTCCCAGGCCAGCCAAGAAACATAGTTCCTCCACCGTGTCCTGAGTCTTCCTCTGGGTCTCCTCCTGGTGGGACGTGTCTGGAACACCTCACCAGCGAAGTGTCCAGGAGGCATCCTAACCAAATGCCCGAGCCACCTCAGCTGGCTCCTCTCGATGTGGAGAAGCAGCGGCTCTACTCCAAGTTCCTCCTGGATGACTGAGATTCTCATGCTATCTCTAAGGGAGAGCCCAGACACCCTGTGGAGAAAACTCATTTCGGCCGCTTGTATCCGAGATCTTGTTCTTTCGGTCACAACCCAAAGCTCATGACCATAGATGAGGGTGGGAACGTAGATCGACCGGTAAATTGAGAACTTCACCTTTTGACTCAGCTCTCTCTTCACCACAACAGACCAGTACAGCACCCGCTTCACTCAGATGCTGCACTTATCTGCCTATCAATCTCTCACTCCATTTTTCCCTCATTTGTGAACAAGACCCTGACATACTTAGGCTCCTCCACTTGGGGCAGGACCTCTTCCCTGACCCAGAGAAGGCACTTTACCATGGCCTTGGATTTGAGTAACTGATCCTCATCCCGGCCGTGTCACACTCAGCTGAGAACTGCTCCAGTGAAAGTTGTATATCACAACCTGATGAAGCCAATAGGAACACATCATCTGCAAAAAGCAGAGACACATTCCTAAGGTCACCAAAACAGATCCACTAACACCTTGGATGTGCCTAGAAATTCTGTCCATAAAAGTTATGAACAGAATCGGTGACAAAGGACAACCTTGGCGGAGTCCAACTCTCACTGAGAACAAGCCCGACTTATTGCCGGCAATGCGAACCAAGCTCTGACACCGGTCATACAGGGACCTAACAGCCTGTATCAAAGGGCCTGGTATCCCATACTCCCAGAGTACTACCCACAGGGTTCCCCAAGGGACATGGTCAAATACCTTCTCCAAGTCCACAAAGCACACGTAGACTGGTTGGGCAAACTCCCACGCACCCTCCAGGACCCTGCTGAGGGTGTAGAGCTGGTCCAGTGTTCCACAACCAGGACCAAAACCACACTGTTTCTCCTGAATTTGAGGTTCGACTATCCGATGGACCCTCCTCTCCAGAACCCCTGAATAGATTAAAGGCTGAAAGACATATCTTGATCAAAAATAACATTAAGGATTTTAAATTTAGAACTGGAGGCCAAATTAATGCCATCCAGAGAAAGTGTAAAGTTTATTCTACTCATGTCCAAAAACTACAACATTTGTCTAGTCTGAGTTTAAAAGCAGAAAATTAAGGGTCATCCAGGTTTTATGTCTTTAAGACATGCTTGTTTCAATCTAAGTAACTGATTGAATTCATTGGGTTTCATGGACAAATTTAATTGTGTATCATTAGCATAACAATTAAAATGCATCCCTTGCTGTTTAATAACTTTACCTAATGGAAGCATAAATAAAGTAGAGTATTGGTCCAAGTACTGAACCCTGAAGAACCCCATGACTAATTTTGGTGTATGAAGAAGATTCATTATTTACATTTAAAAACTGAAATATATCAAATAAATATGAATTAAATAATTTAGAGCCGTTCCTGTAATTTTGATATCATATTCAAGCCTCAGAAGTAAAATACTGTGATCATCTGTATCAAATGATTCATTTTAATCAATGACAATAGTTTGAAGTATTTTAGATAACTAACTTTTTATATGAAAAGTGTAAAACACAATGTCATTAATACACATAAAAGAAGTTGAAAGAGAGGACAAAAGAATGAAGAGTTTATGTTTATGTGATACATCATTCAATGCTATTCTGGAATATTCCACAATGGCCAGAATAATTCGAGACAAGTAAGGTCATGGGTATAAATGAAACATCCTTCAAAATTTTATTGTGGCCAAGGAAAAACTGTCCAATAATCACCACTTTGATTAGTTCAAAACGGCATTTCTCAATGAATATTTTAAAAGACTAACAAGTCTTTTAACCTCTTAACAATTAAATACAATTCAAACCCAATTGTTGTCACCAGGCACATGCTGCCAAAACATCCAAAACTGTAACCTGAAACTGTTACTATGAAGAAAGGCCTTTATGGACTCAGGACAAAAACCTCTGGGTGGGATCTCACCTCAGATGAATAGAAAGGCAGTGGACAGGTGTTCTGTGCTCAAGTTCAGCATTTCAGTAAAATTAAATGTCAGGTTTTGAGTATGTACCAAAAATGAGAAAGATCCTGGTTAAAGGGTGCAAAAGCCAAAACCTGGGAATGGGAAATGTGTATGGGTGCATCACTGACCATGGGGTGGGTGACGTTCTTATTTATAAACATAATATTAATGCAGAAGTGATTATGGGGCGTTTCCCTCCAAACAGGTTCCATCAATAAACCAGAGCTAAACTGACATCAAATCTTTCTGTTTCCTTTAAAAACTGATTATACAGTATCTGAGCACCATTTGCTGGGCGTGTGTGTGAGTGTGTGTGTGTGTGTGTGTGTGTAAGTTTGTTTACATTATATATGGGGACTTAAACCAGCTGTGTGTGTGTAAGTTTATTTATGTTATATTTGGGGACTTAAACCAGCTTACACACCAGTCATTTGGGGACACCTTGGCAATTGGGGACCAAAACATGATCATAAATTGTGTGTGTGCGTGTGTGTGTTGGGGGGAGGGGGGTTAAACTGGAATTCACAGAGGTAATGTGGTCAGGTCACTGCAAAGAGATGCCTTCAGTCCCTGTTTTTAAATAAACACTAGTCAAGCACTAGTTGAAGCACCATCTGTAAACTAGGGCATTAACAGAGTACTCGAGTAATCTACACATTGATTGCTAGGACGGACATCTATCGAGGTTAAAAATGTAACGTTGGGTATCCGTAATGACGTCATATTATGTGACCACCGTATGACCATAGGGGGCGGTGTTGCACTGTTGCAGGTCACAGAGTATGGTGTAACACCGGGTCCAATCCACCGAACCAGAACCAGTTTCGGTTTAAGTTTCGTTTTTTGACATGCTGCACGTTTCTTCACGTTTGCAGTTTAATAATAATAAATAATAGTTTAGTTTTTCCTTTGACTTATTTGCAGTATGATAAATGGTAGGAGCATAATATACGCTCCCAATGTTTTGCTGGTCTTTTTTTTTGTAAACAATTACCTTTTTTTGCTGTTTTATTTTTTTTATTTTTTTTTGTATCTTGAGATCTATGACGTCATCAAATACTCAAGTTCTACTCGGGTTTTATTATGTTAATGTCGAGTTAAAAAATTATATACTCGTTCAACCCCTACTGTAAACATCTTTGGATCTTTTATTTTCACCACCTGGTGTTTAGGGATCATACTGAAACACTGTGTAATTTCTGTTTGCAGCAGCTTTTGCAAATTAGAGATCAGAAATGATGGTCAGCTGAGTGTTAACAAGCATCAACCTCTATTTTTAACCAGTGTTGATAAAATAAATATGTTTGCAGGAATAACAACACAAATCTTGTGATGTGTGAAGATCTGGATTTGTGTGTTCGAGATTTATTATATTCTGTTCCTTGTGGTTTGTGTATGTTTATCCCCAGGAATGATTTTGATCTTGATAACAATTTATTATCTGTCAAACATTTTAAAATAATTTTTGGTAATAATGATCATTATAAATGACTCAGTTAGACAAGTAATTGATTAAAAGCACAAGTTCATACCATACCTGCAAAGAAACTTTGTACTGCCAGGCATGATTTCAAGTGTGAAGCACTCTCCTCCATTAACACAGTAGTTCTTCTGGCTGTCACTGCATCGCATTACATGACTGGAGGTCTTTGATGTCGTGGAGGTGCTGGTGGTAGCTGCAAAATGACAACCATGGTTATTGCCTTCAAACAGTCACAAGCAAATAAGTTTGACACATTTTTTAAAGTAAACCCCAGTTTTAGAGCTAAAAAACTTGAGTGTCAAAAATCTTTTAGTGCTTCGATTTGTTTTGAAATTGGACCCAAGATTATGCAGGCAAAGCATTTGTATTTTCAACAAAATATTGAATAATGATAATAACAATAAGAAATATAATAATAATAGTAATAAACAAGATTATCTTATGCTGTTTATGTTGTTGGACCATATTTTTTCCATCACACTCTTTAAAATGAAGGGTTTTAAATGCCACAATGATCTAACCAACTGAGCTCAACTAAAGTGTGGCATAAAACTATAACATTATGTCATTTGTTCACATAAAACATCAAAGAATATGAAAAACTAAGTACACTATGTTTCAGTTGCTTATTAGCCACTTGGGCCAGTAATATATTAATACATTAACTTAAGATAATGTTGCATTGCACTGATTGTCCTTCGGTTGAATCAAACTCATGTTGATTTGCATTGTACTGTAACTGAGAGATAAATCATATCATGCTGAATTTTTACATATTTTATCAGCCACAGATACAAGATCCAAAACCCTTATGTTTATGCATGTTTTTATTTGGCTCATCTATCCAAAAACCTGCAAATATTCTCATTAGGAGAACTGTTATTATGTTAATCTGGCTCTGTTAAACACTCCACACACATCCTCTTGAGGAGGTATTTTAATTAAACAGATAATTCACACTGAGCCTCAAAGACTCATTTACAAGTGAGACCTGTTTGGACAGACAATAAAAACGTGGTGAAAATGGTACACAGGGTTTGGAGACAAAAAAAATCCCAACATGCTTTTAATCTTTGTTTGAAGGTCAACAGTGTGATAATGAAAAATAATCTCGCACACAAGCACATAATGACGCTGACAGTCCACAAGGGGGGTGTGGGGTGCAAGAACGGTGAGCATGTCCAGAGACAACACATAGAGGCACTGCAGAGTTCAGATAAGATCGCTCAGTTCAAATAGTTCCTTCTGGAGAGATCCGTACACACTCAGGGGGGGTGTTGAGGACAACCACGGATGAATCCAGAGAATCCTGAAATAATGACATAATATTTATTCAGCTGGGCCCCTCTGAAAAGTTCATGGAATTCCTCGGCAGGAGAGGAGGGGGGGGCAGAGTCATCAAGTTTACAAAACTTCCAGGCGAGTTGAGATAAGATGGCCTGTCAAGGCCAGTCAGGGAGACAAATTCAGATAAACTTGATTGTTTTGGGGACAGACATAATTTTAATGACATCTACTTTGAGTCTGTGTCGGTCCACTAGGTTCTGAAACATCCAAATTAAATGGCCACACCAATGGACCGTGACTGAGAATAATACCCAAGATCTGATCCATTCTGCCAAAAGCATTTGAGTCTGGGTGCTCAAGGCACAACCCAAGCCATCATAAGGCAAGCAGCCTGATTGGGTCCAAATTTGCTGCAGATGACTTCCTTGCTTGTTAATAGACCAGGAACCAGCCAAATCCTATAGTCAGAAACCAATTATCATAAATCCAATTATATATGCGTCCTTAGCAGCAGAGGTAGACACATCATCAAGTCTTCCAAGTCAATGAGATATCCAACAAGTGCCAACAGGGCAAATCGGCTCGCCCAAAGCCTGTCTTCTCTTTGAAAAAATATTATCAATTGTGTTGAGGGACCAACTGACCAAAACCATAAATTATGATTCAGAAGATTTGTAAGAGAGACTCTAAGCAGTTTCACAGACAGGACAGAGCAAAGTGAAGTGGAGAGGAGGAGAAGATGTCCACCCTTGACAAGAGAAGTGTTGAGTTTTAAACAGAAGTAAACACAAGAAGGGGGTTAAAGTGCCTGCTCTCTATGTGTTTCCTTGTCATGATCTGCCATGTAATGATGTTTTGGAACACACAAACACACACACAAGGCAACACAATGAAGTTTCTTTAACCCTCAACAAATGTTCTCACACCCAAATACACTCACACGTCTTCTGGTCTAACAGAGTCATTAAAGTGGAAAAATTGTTCATCAGTGTTCTTTAAAAAAGCCATTTCAAGCTACTGGTTTGATGCAATGTTGCACAAAAGTGAATGTTGCCAATTTCTGCCATTGGAAATATAAAAATCCTTCTAGTTTTAACTTTTTTTTGTTGTTAATTAAAAACAAGAGCTTAGTTATTGATATAAATTTAAATATTATTGATTACAGATTTTTTTATGAGATTCCATCCATTCAGGAGGAGCAGTGCAGTTTTCGTCCTGGTTGCGGAACACTGGACCAGATCTACACCCTCAGCAGGGTCCTGGAGGGTGCGTGGGAGTTTGCCCAACCAGTCTGCATGTGCTTTGTGGACTTAGAGAAGGCGTTCATCCCTCGGGGAGCCCTCTGGGAGCCCTCTGGGGGGTACTTCGGGAGTATGGGGTACCAGGCTCTTTGATACAGGCTGTTAGGTCAAAGTACGACCAGTGTCAGAGCTTGGTCCGCATTGCCGGCAGTAAGTCAGGCTCGTTCCCAGTGAGAGTTGGACTCCGTCAAGGTTGCCCTTTGTCACAGATTCTGTTCATAACTTTTATGGACAGAATTTCTAGGCGCAGCCAAGGTGTTGAGGGTATCCGTTTTGGTGGCCTTAGGATCGCTTCTCTGTTTTTTGCAGATGATGTGGTCCTATTGGCTTCATCAGGTCATGTTATAGGGACTCAGAGTAGAGCCACTGCTTCTCCTCATCGAGAGGATCCAGTTGAGATGGCTCGGGCATCTGATTAGGATGCCTCCTGGACACCTCCCTGGTGAGGTTGTCCAGGCACGTCCCACTGGGAGGAGACCCAGAGGAAGACCCAGGACACGCTGGAGGGACTATGTTTCTCGGCTGGCCTGGGAACACCTTGGGATTCCCTGGGCTGGGGAGAGGGAAGTCTGGGCCTCCCTACTTAGGCTGCTACCCCCGTGACCCGACCCCGGATAAGCGGAAGAGGATGGATGGATGGATGGATGGATGGATGATGGATGGATGGATGAGATTGACTTGTTCATTTTTCCATCATTACTTCTATAGAAGATACATTCATATTTGTTCTTAGTTTTTTTAATTTAAATTATTACAAATGATAATCTATCAATGAAACAGCATTTACATTTTAACACCCTTTGTTATTTGAACTCTTATGTCCAATGTATATGGTCAACTACAATATACCTTGTGAGTCACCATATTATTTGATTAAAATTTTCTGTTAACTAACACGTAATATAACAGCAAAATGCACAATTTATATTACTGGTATTGTTTCCAATATAAAATGTGGCACAAACCCTACTAGGTCCTTCATTAAATCTCAGCATCATTAAAAATAACCTTTTGTCTATTCAAACTAAGTTTATTAAAATTAGGTAATACCTTAAACCCTGCCCTTAATCTTGATTAAGAACTGAAAAATCAGGGCAGCACATTGGCACAGTTGGTAGAGCTGTTGCCTCTCAGTAAAAAGGTTGCCAGATCAAATACTGGCTGGGGAACTTTCTGGGTAGAGTTTACATGTTCTTTCTGTGCTTGCATAGGATTTCTCTGCACTCCGGTTTCCTCCCACGGACCAAAAACATATGTTAGGCTGACTGGTAACTCTAAAATGTCCCTAGGTGTGAATGGACATTTGTCTTGTGTGTCTGTATGTGTCTCTTTGATGGACTTGTGACTTGTCCAGGGTGCACAAGTTTCAAGGTTCAATTTTCAAGGTTCTTTATTTGTCATTTGCATCACATGTGGTACATGATGGGGGAACAAAATTGTGTACACGGTCCCAGTTACATTCAACCAAAGTATAAATTGTAAAAGAAAACAGTGATAAGGTCTAAAATATGAACTAAATGTGCTAACCTAAGAATATGCTAAGCATTTAATAGTGCAAAAACAATATGCCGAGCAACAGCAGCATGAACATGAGTCTGTGTGAGCAGATGAGTATGAATGAACACAGCAGCATGAAACAAATCAGCAGCATGAGAGCAGCAGAATGGACAAGCAGCAACACATATCAACAATCAAAGTGGCATTACAGTGATTTTTTTTTTTCCACAGTGATTATCCTGATCAGGAATTCATGAGTATAACAGCCTCAGGGTAGAAGCTGTACCTCAGTCTAGTGGTTCTGCACTTAATGCCCCTCAACCTGAGGGGAGCGGGGCAAAAATTGTGTGTGCTGGATGAGTGGGATACTTCATGATGCAGGTGGCCCTCTTCCTACATATGGAAGTGTAGATGTCTGTGATTGTGGGAAGGCTGATTCCAACAGTCTTATGTGCAGCCTTCACCACTCTCTGCAAAGCTTTTCTTTCTGCAGCTGTGCAGCCTCCATGTCACACAATGATGCTGGAGCACAGGCTGCTCTCTACTGCACACCTGTAGAAGTAGGTGAGGACTGAGCTTCCCAGTCCAGCTCACCTCAGCTGCCTAAGGAAGTAGAGTCTGTAGTCTGAGGAAGTAGTCTGCAGTGCAACGTAAAGTCTGCAGAGGCAGTACCCTGCCTCTTGCACAGTGGCTGCTGGATATGGGCACCAGTGAGCCCCCGACCCAAAAAGGCAGAAGCAGATAAAGATAATGAATGGATGGATTGATAGAATTTTAAAAAATCATCTATTGCCAGGCAGCACGGTGGCGGAAATGATAGAGCTGCTGTCTCTCAGCGAGCAGGTCCTTGGTTCAAACCCCGGTCCAGGTGCCTTCTGGGTGGAGTTTGCATGTTCTCTCCGTGCATGCATGGGTTTTCTCCGGGTACTCTGGTTTCCTCCCACAGACCAAAACATGCATGTTAGGCTGATTGGTAACTCTAAATTATCCCTAGGTGTGAGTGAGAGAGTGAATAGTTGTTTGTCTCGTTTGTCTCTATGTAGCCCTGTGATGGACTTGCGACCTGTCCAGGGTGTACCCCGCCCCTCGCACAGTGATTGCTGGACAT